CAAAATCTGGAGAAAGTGGATCCAAGGAAGAGTCTGGAATGTCATTCTCGGACACAGCCTCAGAACAACTTTTGGCCACCATCAGCTGTAGGCTAGATGAATCTTGCATCTGCAGAAGTCCAGCCTCTTGGAGTCTTTATTTTTGGAGACACCTCCAGGTTGTCCCTGGCTTTCCCTGTGACCAACCACCTCGACTCTGGGAGGCTATCCCACCGAGATGGAGCCCTGTCCCATACCCAATCTGTATCCGAAACGGTTGGTACCCAACAACCAGGCGCTACTGGACTGACAGCTCTGCATGTGGCTGCGCCCTCAGTTAGGGATGTAAGCAACTAGTCAGCTCTCCAATAAGCAAAAGCTTTATCAGATAGTCAACTAGTCATTTCTGACCCCTTTGCTGCCTCGATTAGAGGAAGCAACGTGGGGAAGAAGGAGTTGGTGCTGGGGGGAAGCCAGTTTAAAAGCAAGTTCTACCCAGTACCAGCTCCTGCACCCCGCCTTGCTTCCTTTGATAGAGGCAGCAAAGGGGTCGGAAGTGACTAACCAGCTTAAAAGCCAATTCCACCCAACACTGTCTCCACGGGGGCAGGGAAGATAGGGAGGAAGAGGCTGGTGGGGACAGGGTGCAAGCCGGGATTCCTGGCTCGGGACCAGTCCCAGATGCTGCGCCTCTGCTTTTTAAATGTATTGAGAGCCTGCCGGGGTCACCAGAGCTACTCCTTTATTGCTGAGGGGAACACTTCTAGCTGGTGAGCATGCACAGCAAACATGGAACGGACATGAGCACACACTCAAATAAAACGCCACCACCACCATCTTCATCTTAGCGGAAATCTATTGTTTGTTCAAGGTGCAGGATCACTATGTGCCATTAATAACAGAGAATAAGAGAGCATCATCCAGAGTTTGTCCTGTTGCAAAATGTTTTTGCTTTCATAGTTATTTATATATTTTTAAGACCGTTATTTATCAGTGGGGGCAATAAAATAGTATTTTGGAATGCTGACTCTTCCCCCTCCCCCCCAGAAACTCTTGTATCACAAATAGATATTAAATACTTTAAAGGCAGATTACTTGATTTAAATTTAACAGGCATTAATAAGCTCCTTAATGCTTATTTTATGGTTTGACAGGAAGCATAATGTCTTACAGTGACAAGTTCAACTAATAACCTCTTGACCAGTCATGTCCTATTTGCTCAAATAGGAGACTCAATACCAAAATTAATATTCTGGTTTCTGTTAAAGGCAGCTTGCCATTCTGGAGTATAACTGAACCAGCAGAATCTACATACTGTGGGTAAATACTATCCCCGACCAATACCCAGAAAGCCTTACAGGCCCCAAAAGTAGGATATAGAGACCACGAGGAACCAGTGAGCTGTGTGAACATCTTCCACACTATGTACCTATGAAAATATCTGGTCCCCATCTCCACAGAAAAATGCCACAATCCCCTGTGTGGCAGGGCAGTTTTATTTTACAGGTGGGGATCTGAGACACTGAGTCATTAAAGTGACTTTTCAAAGGCCACACAGGAGTCTGCAGTAGGCCCTGGAATTTAACCCAAGTGAGAGTCAGTACTCTAATCACATGTCCATCCTTCCATCTCTCACTCCTTGTGATGACATCTTATCCTAGCCCCAGTGAAGCGAATAGCAAACTCCCTACAATCTGATGTTCACAAAGAGGCTCTGCTGCTATTCCGCTCCTTGAGCAGAAGAAAAGCCTCATGGAAGTCTTCTATGTACAACTCAGTTCTTTGGGATGTGTTCAGGGTGTTGGATTTGGCCCTGAATCTCATCGAGTACTGAACGCTACAGAGCACAATGATTCATGGATGGCAATTTGACATGCTTACAGGTCACCCATGGGGGAGGAACATACAGTAAATATCAAGATAGCCATCTCATCTATCACATCTGTTCACAAAGGGACAGAACAATGTTCTCTCCTCTGAGGAGCCAAAGACACAGCTAAACTGGCATGGAGCAATGGCAGTATTTTAGGTGCCCATACAGAGAATGTACATCCCCAGCACATTACACAGTGGATTTTAGCAGGGCAGCTGGAGCTGCTAGTGCACACTGCTACCACCCACTGCTCCTGAAGAGGTACTAGACCCTGGGGAGAGATTTTGCCCTAAAGTAATCCCAATGAGAGTAATCACGCTCAACCAGTGTAAACGTCTAGGTTTGCCTCCAACCAAAAGACAGCTTGAAAAATAGATCTGTTCAGAGAAACAGTTTCTACCCACCCTTTGCAAAGCTTGTGGGTGGAATTAAGAAGAATAACCTTTCTATGCTCCAAACTGAACACATCCTGAAATGCAACAAAGACACTTCATATTGAAGGGATGGTAGAGATCAGATCTGTTGAAAGAACCCATTTTCTATTAACCAAGCCAAATAAATGCCCAAACACAATGAAGCCTTGTTCAGGGAATAGTCTGACAATATGCTAGAAGATGAAATAACAATAAATAATAATAAATAATAATAATAATAATAGTCAGCTTGTTAAAGGAATATCAGTTAAATTCCCTGTGGGTTCAACCAGCCAAAGATTCCATAACACAACAGGACTCGATGGAATCAGCACCTAATTTTAAAACTAATTAGCGAAAGTTCTTCTTCACACAGCGCATAGTCAACCTGTGGAACTCCTTGCCAGAGGAAGCTGTGAAGGCTAGAACTGTAACAGAGTTTAAAGAGAAGCTAGATAAATTCATGGAGGTTAGGTCCATAAAAGGCTATTAGCCAGGTGTAGGAATGGTGTCCCTGGCCTCTGTTTGTCAGAGGCTGAAGATGGATGGCACAAGACAAATCGTTTGATCATTGTCTTCAGTCCACCCCCTCCGGGGCACCTGGCGCTGGCCACTGTCGGCAGACAGGCTACTGGGCTAGATGGACCTTTGGTCTGCCCCAGTACAGCCATTCTTATGTTCACCTGTTAAAGGAGCAACAGATCTGTTTAGAAAAAGACCACTGCTATGCATTGAGGTTACGCACTGAGATGGGTCTTATTCAGCTCTTCCTTTTTGGGGGTAGGGTTTGTAGATTACCATCCAGATTTTGTTTTTGTTTTTTTTCCTGCTGCTCAAAAAAAAAAAAAAAAAAAAAAAAGTGACAGATTAACAGCTCTTCTTGCTACAGAGCTGATGGGAGATTGCACTAACTGCGCTCAGGCTATCATCCACCACTTGTTTGCTCACATGTCTCAACCCTGACATGGAAGGACCCCTGCCATCTGTGAGGGCAGTGCCATGTCCACCTCCTTTGGGAGCACTGACTCTCGAGAGCAAATTAGCACCAGTCGTGAGGGGCTGTGCAAACATCTCTCAGCTGAGACTGAATTCTTAAGCCACCAGAACAGCTAGCCACTCTGAGCCACCAAATAGCCACACTTGATATGAATTAGCAACTTAGAGGTGAAAGTTTCTCTTCCTGATTCCTCCACCTCATCAGGATTAATAGCTAATTCTTGAAATACAACTCCCTCGGCTATGATGTGCTACCACATCCATCTAGCTTAGTGTGAACAATCCCCTGGTATTTGGCTGAATGCTGCTTCCAACCTGGAATACGTGTGCTTTCAATTTGCAAACAAGTCACCAAACTTTTGGGTGGTAAAGGAAGCAGATATTCTTGTTACAAGAATAAATCAAAGGTATGAGATAAACCATGTCTCTAAAAGGCCAGGACCTTGTTTGAAGGCAACAGCGCCACACCAACATTACTATTCTGGTTTACCACTTTGTTTCAAAACCACGATCCATGGAAATCTGTGGGAATCCACAAAGTGCCATGGCAGATCAGATCAGAGCTCTATCTATGGCCAGAACCAGGACATTCAGAACATGGTAGAACAAACCCATAATGGACAATTATGGAATAAATCTGCCCTCAGTAGAAAATTCCATTTCCAGTTGGGTTATTTTTGTGTCTTCTCTTTCTATAGAAGTCCAAGACCCAGATTTCCAATCTGGATCCAAACTTCTCCATTGTTTGTATCCTGGAATTTTATTTGGACCATTACAGAAACAGAACACATCTACCAAGTTTAGTTCCAGAACCAGAATCCCCAAAAGTTTGGATCTGGGATTTTGGTTCAGGATCAGTTTCAAGACCTGTTCCGTCATTCCTCCACCTAAACAAACATCGGGTTATAAACAGTTTCTTTAAAACGCCCCGACTCATTTTTTCCAAAACTGAAGACAAACGTTTCCTTGTGAGATGACAAGATAAACTGCTGGGGAAAGGGACTAGGTCTTTAGCTAGGGAAGTTGCCAGTAGCAAGACAACTCTGGTGAAAGTATCTGTGTCAATGGTTTTAAGGAAAAATGCTATTAGTCATAAAGGGCAAACATACAATACACGATAAGCAAAATGTTCTCACAAAAGGAAAGGCTTCAGAACTTTCCAAGCTCTTAAGGAAAACATTCTCAAGTGTGCATTTCACAGTGAGATCGCTGAGCAGTGCCAAAAGTGAGAGCATTCCAAAATACATTTATCTCAAGTAGAAAGTTATGCCACATCCCTGCCCAACTGTACTTTGTGGGTGTAATATACACTGGCACACACAATTATGAGCAGCTCAGCTTGTCTTAAGAGGGTGTTTGCAAGTGATACAGATGTGAAATCCACAAAGTAAAATGAACTGAGGCCCTGAAGCTGGAAGCACAAACAAGACAATGTATCACCACCACTCAGTAACAAATTATTCCTCGTTACTGTTTAGAAAAGAAAAGTACTGGGGGAAGCAATATTCTGACCACTTACAAATCTGTGTGGGAACACAGTTTCTGCATATTCAGAAGACAAGTATGTGCTACCGTGAATGGAGACCCCAGACTTGGAGTGGAGAATGAGGCTTCCCTGGAAAAGAGTAGTTCAACCTGAACAAGGATCTCAAACCAACTGGATTTCCATCAGCCCAAGGAGGAGCATACTGTAGATCAGAACACTTCGCTCATTCTCCAAGAGCCAAGCGAATACGTACCATGTTCATCACTGTGAGGATGAATCTTTGGGCTGCCTCGGCACCATGATATTGCACCATATCAGCATCAGCCACTACCAGGGTTTCTACGGTGTATTCATTAGTGAGCCGAATAGCATTTCTTCGCTCCCTCCAGTCATTGGCTGGTTTCATCTTCTTTTGTCTCTTCTTTTCTAGAAAATAAAGTAGATATTAAAGAATCCTCTAGGTCTAGCAGGCGGGTCACAGCAACATGTTTATATCGTACTCTGGCTGAGATTTCCCTCCAAATCCAGCCTGGAATGACCTTTAAGTAAATTAAGTTTCCATGTGATTTGTCCCTCAGCAGAACCAGTCAGGAGTTTCCATTATGGATGCATGCATCACTGTCTATGGGCATTTGTATCACACCATGAAAATCTATGCAATGAGACAAGGGGAGGGAGGGAAGATGGACATACTGTAAGAGAGTTAATTAAAAAGAAAAACACAAAGTAGAGAATAAGTTACAGTTGAACCAGAAATGAAATCTCACTGTGGCAAGAACAGAAAGTGAAAATCCTGCTAAGGGGGGAGAAAAAAAAGAAAAGAATCTGCACATTTTAATGGAACATAGCCAAGGAAACAATAGACAAGGAAAGTCTGCTGAAGAAAGGTCACACAAGCCAGATTCAGGATGGGGACAGTACTGTGGCAGCATTAAACTAGGGTTGTAAACATGTACACAGTAAACCTCTGAGCCTGAGCTCATTGGTAAATCTTCACAGTTATGTGCAGCTTCTCCTCCCCCTCTCTGCTGCCTCTGCCGGGGAGGCACACACACGTAAACATGTACATTTACCTAAATAAACGCATTTTAACATCCCTAGTTTAAACCAGGGAATGACCATTGGGGGAAATTTTCCTCTATCTTCTACCCTCAGAAGGTTTTGTTTTAGCCAAAGAAGTTGTAAAAAATTCCTGTGGTATTACGATTGGTGCACTTTAAAAATGCACATGGTGTTAAATAGTTGTTTGGCCACTGAAGCAGAATGTGGTAGATTTGCCATCACTGGGAGTCATTTGTTCTTTTCGAAAAGCATGAATTGTTGGGCTCTGAATCCTCGTGTGAAATTTATGGCCTGAAATACACGGAAGGTTAGGCTAGATTAACTGAATGATTCCTTTTGGCCCAAAATTCTACGGAACTACAAAAAACTTTAGGGACCCCAGAAATGAAGCAATTGTCAGCTACTATACAAGGAAAAATAAATACTATATGGTATGAACTTAATCACTTCAGCGAGGAAATTAAAGCAAAGGCCAAGTGACAAATACATTCATAAACTGCCCTCTTCACAAGTGAGAAATGTAATTCATTTCACAGCTCAGCGAGAGATGTATAAAGCAGCTGACAAATGAATCAGGGACAAGCTGGGCACAGATGTGATGTTAAAGTTATATTCCTCATTACAGTCATAAAATGTATTCAAGTTTTCATCCGTAAAATGAAAGAAAAGCAAATGAGTCCCTAGAACCAATTTATTTTGCAATGTGCAAGGTACCAAATCCCAGCATTCACTGAAATTATTAGCACTTGTGCTTATTGCTACAGGTGTAAAATATTATAGTAAACCCTTGTTCATGTGAGTACTTCCACTGAAATTGTGGCATTACTTGGGGAATATGGGCGCAATCCATGCAGTAAAGTTTCCCATCAGGGTGGCACAATCTGCCCCTACCTTCCCATACAAAGCACTGATACAGTATAATAAAGTGGATACGCATTTCAAGCTGCAAATAAATCCTAGAGCAAGGGCATTCTAAAAACACACTGCCTTGGTTTCCAAAGCAGAGTGTAGTAAAACTCTCTTTACTTGCTGAGAAACAGAATTCTTCTGAGCATTTTCTATTGTGGGATTTGCCTAGTAAAGCAACATTCTGCAATGTTTATTCAATGATGCTGGTTTTCCAGAATCTGTTTACTAGCTCTCTTACATAACACAGCTAGAATTGCCCTACATTACCTATCTGGTAAATATGCTAGCATCCCAATAGTCTGTTTCCCCTTAATGAATCTGTCTTATTCAGACTGCCAGACACCAATGATTGTTAAGCTCTCTCATGCCCACCTGAAACTGACACCAGCACTTCTGTTCATTCATACATTCATTCCATCTCCTCAATGCACACATTCACACATGTTCATCCCAGCCGCGCTCCCAGTTGTCTGGCAGTCATTCCAGAACTGCTCTGCGCGGGCTTTTGTCTCAGACATCAACTGTCAGCACTTGGTGCATTTTTTTAAACTTAAGAAAACAGCCATGACATTCAATGTCTTTTTCAAGCACTTTGGAAATACCCTGTTGCAGATAACAAGATAGACAGGAGCCTCTGTGTAAGCCAAAAGGGTATACAATATTTCAGGGTGCCCACAAATCACGAGGAAATACCCGCTGGCAGCTAGAGGAAAACAAGTCCTTCCAGAGATTTGTAGTATCAAAGACTTCATGGCCATTACCGAAAGCCATACAATCATTACAAAACTGCCTGCAGAGGAGGGAATCTGTACATGCTTGAGTGCTGCAAAATAAAATAAAATGGACTGACTGTGAATCCTAGAAAGGAGGAGAGCGCGGCACACCTTTGACTTGCCAGCAATGAAAGGGAGATGACTTCATCCAACTACAGTGAATAAGCTTCTGTGTTCTCTGTCCATCCAGAGAGACTTGTCCTAAGCTGCAACACTTCATTCAAGTGTTGTGTCGTGGAATGTCGGACACTGGGGCTCGTGACTGCAGGGTGACCCGTGGGGGTGCTAAGGCAGCTCCCTGCCTGTCCTGGCGCCTAGTGGGGGGAGGGAAGAGTGCACAGGGCTCGGTACGCTGCCCCTGCCCTCAGCACTAGTTCCGCACTCCCATTGGCTGGGAACCGGCTGCTGGCTGGTTCTGAGCACAGCATAGTCTGTGGTGCCAAGAGCGGCAGGAAGCATCCTTAGCCCCCCTGCTGCACCGCTGACCGGGAGCTGCTCAAGGTAAGTCCCTCCTGCCCCAGCCCTGACACCCCCAAAGCTGGACTCCCTCTTCTACAGTCCAAAGCTCTCCTCCTCAGCCCGATCCCAGAGCCCCACTCCAGTCGAATTATGTCGGGTCATGGGCATCAGTAATTTTCTTCAACTGGGTCATGAGAAAAAAAGTTTTAAAAATCGCTGTTTTAATGGTTATCCTATAACGATACACACAGGGCTGCAGGAGATTTATTCCAACAACACAATTTCAAGTTCGAGTTGGCCTTTCTGAACCTCCTCCAGGGAGTGGCATCTTCCTGGAAAGCAACAGGATTTCCCCAACAGAATCTAAGTCCTTACAATTCCCAAATGAACTCAAGGGACAAATCTTCAGATGGTGTGAATCAGCCTCGCTCCACTGGGCTAGGCAGACTGACACCAGTTAAAAATCTGGCCCTATGCCTTTATAACTCACAGGAGCAGTCCTTATATCATTTTTAATCCCCCCTCCCCTTAAATTAAAAACACTCCTTTTAAAGTGTGCTATAAATATAAGTCACATAGCAGTGTGGGCCAGTGTCAAATGCAAGAACATTTTTACATGGTTGCCATAAAATACAGAAGAAGCTAATACAGACTGCTGGAAAGCTCTGCAGTGCATTGGATTCGATTCAGATATCTGACGGCCAAAAGAGATCATTATGATCACCTACTGTGATGGCCTGCATAGCTCAGGGCCAGAGATCCTCACCCAGTACTTTCTGCATAAAGCATTAGTTGGACTGCAGGTTTCTGCAATAAAATTGTATTTAATACAATACCTTTGAAATTCCTGCATGCAGAAGCAACGAGCTAGTTATGAGCAACTCTGTGGTTCAGGGAATCCGGTAAGGTAAAAAAAGATCTCTCTCAGGATCTATGAAATTAAAAAAGCTCTCTAAACATACAGATGAGAACCGAGGGGCTCATGTTTCACACAAGACAAGACAGGACATAGGAGATAAAGAATGAAATCCAGACAATCTAGGTACACCTAAAATCTACCTGCCTGGACAGCAGACACCTTTCAACTCAAAGACAATACATGCTAGGGAGGCTGACATTTTGCTATGGTGCCTTTTTAATTGCAAAGGATTTGGGTAACATTCAGCCTTTTTCTGCCCCCTTTTTGGAAAGGGGCATACCTTGCTCTATAGATTCTCTGTACACCGATGCTTCCCTATGCCTCAGCAGCAGTAAAGGTTCTGTTTCATAGAGCAAAAGAGGGTCTAATCTCTCCTCCTACACTCCTTCAGCAAGCACACTTTTCTGTGTCTCTTTAATGAAAAATCTCTTCATTGGAATGCATCTCCAGAATCACCTCGCTGGCAGAGACTGGTAGAATTCCTTGCACCAGCCTTGGTGCTGTGTGGAGGTGGGGATTTCAAAAGGAGTCTCTGGGTGGCCCTTCCTCCAAGTGTCTACTGTGGAGAGGCAGTTTCAAGGTGCATCCGTGGAGGTCACTGAAGAGATGCTGAAAGAGGACATGTGCTGGCCACGCCCCTTTCCAGCCACCATCACCCACTTTCCTGTCCCACCTCTTCTGCGCTCATTTCCCCATGCCCAGGTCCTGCAGATCTGAGCCGGGAATGACAAAATCTTTCACAGCAGTCAGGAAGAGTAATGCCAAGCCAGCAGCCCTGTTGGCACCCAAAGATTTTCAGACTACCCACTAGAGCTGGTGGGAAGGAAACGTACAGCCGGGTAATGCAAGGTGAGCTTCAGCAGCCCCAGAGAAATGGAATAGATCCTGTGTTCAGAGAGCCGGCACTCATCCCAGCTGGCATTCTGAAGCCCTTGGCATCCAATGTCCACTTGTTCCTTGCCAGCGACACAACTATGATGCGGCTGTTGTGGAATTCTTAAATGAACTGTCAAGAACCCCCTCCCCCCACACATACTTTGCTATCCCAAAAACTTTTCTTTATTTAGGAGATCCTGCTTGCCCCATAGCTCAAAGTGACTGCTGCTATTAAATCGGGCCTGGGCTGGGACTTGAATCAACAACCTCAAACCCCATGTCATCTCCCCTACCACCAGGTGCACCTTGAAACGCAGCTGACCTCACACAGATCTGGAATCTTACGCTATCACACTCACCTAAGGCTCACCAAGAACTTACCATATGAAATATATTAGGGACACAGGAATCAGTGTCAAGCTATGAAG